ATCATTTTTTAAATATAGCTTAATATAAACTAGAATTTCATTCAACAGCATTTGTCATTCGTAAAGATCAAAGCTTTTTTCTAAGCTAAATGTTAGCCAAGAAAATATTTATTTTATTGGCTGAAATATATATTCTTTGCAAATAATTTCTTTGTTTCTTTTAAATTTATTATTTCTCCTTTGAACCTGACTGTTTAAGATTAAATAAATACCACAGGTTTTATATCAGTATTAGCGATATTAAAATCTAAAAAAAGTATAAAATGTGTACAAAAATAAGTCATTAGTGGACAAATGATTGCTAGAAAAAGGTTTTTATGAAGAAAAACCTTTGCAGACAATATCGCATTGGGTATTGCTAGTATCTTTTAATATCCCAAAAGTCATCCTAAACTATTTTTCAAACTACCATCTAACGAAGTGATTCCGAGATTTATGATTTATTCAATATCTCCCAGTGCTATGTCCCAAATCTCTTTCCGAGTCCTCCTATATCGCTTTCCGCATAAATTTGCGCGCACTTCAAGAGCTTTCTCCGAACACTTCTCCCGTATCTAGATAAATGTATCTTCATGTTTGTCTCCCATTTCTTGGCCTTTTTTTGTTGTTGGTGTTTTGTTTGGTTTCGTTTTTAGTTTTATTTCTTCGCAGAGTACAAGAGGTACAACTCACTTGTAGGAGCGCTATCACCAGCTGGATGGGTCCGCAGCGGACGACCACGGTGCCGATGGTGGTGGCTCTGAGGGGGGAGGTGGAGGTGGAGGCGGAGGAGGGTGGTGGTGTGGTGTGGGTGGTGCCCGGTCCCATTCCCGTGGACATGGCTGTGGACATGGCCTGACTTGGAGTCGGCGACGATGATGACATTGTTGCTGAATAATTGAAGGCGTCTAGCTGCGACTGCTGCGTCTGGAGTTGGAGGTGCTGCGGCTGGCGGGGATTGGGATTGGTATTGGGATTGGGATTCGAGGAGGAGGCGACCGAGTAGAGCGAAGACATCGATGAGTCTAGGGCTTGGCGGCGTTCCATGGCTGGCTTTCTTCTACTCGTTGTTGTTGTTTTTCTTACTAACTTTTGAGGATTGCGCTGAGTGGTTGTAGTTTTGTGTGTTTTGCGTGGGCGTTTATAATCTCTGTCGTTTAGTTTTTCTCGTATTTTGGTTTGCTTCCCCTACTTATTTCGCGTGTTTTGCATTTTGAACTCTGTTTGAAAGTGGTGTTATAAAAATTGAGTCACTCGCGGTTGGAACTTGATTTATTGGCTATAACTAAGCAGGGGATTCGATTCGATTCGATGCGATTCGGTTCCTTCGATTTCGTTGCGAGCGCTATCAACGCCGGCGATCGTCTGAGAACCTCTGCGAATCGGTTGGTTTTCGAATCGGAGAATTCTTTTTTTTGCCCGCCTCGATGACTATGACTTCATACTCGCGCTCTCCCTGTCGCTCTAGTGCTTAGTTTATTATTCCGTACTGTCTATATATATATATATATATGGCGAGAGAATCGTATGTACGTTTTGCATATTGAGCCTGAGAAAATTGCCTTTGATGCGTGTGCTAGTCTCGTTGAAGACCCCCAATTTCCCCCTCTCTCTCTTCTTCCCTAAGCTCAAAGACAATGCTCGATTCGCGTTTATTTTTAAAACAACAAACTATTGAGTAATTTTTGTGGCAATTTTTGCCACGAAGCTAAACTGTTGTTTTAGCCCAGATACTGCCGATACAGATACTATAGACTATAGACTACAGACTATAGACTGTAGCCAGAGATAGTGCGTCAGATTTATAACATGTGCCAATTGCATTGGCAGGAGTCGTCAGTCATTTTTCATGGATTTTTTTTCGATATTTTTGAATACATTACGCATACGCCATGGATGCTCGTGTGCAGCCAGCTGCCTCAATTAGGTAATTTTTGGTGTTTCTCTCAATTTTTAATAGTCGCCGCCGTTGCTGGCGTAATGTAAACTATTTTAATTGTACTTTGCGCTGGCTAAAAATAAACAGCGCACAAAAAAATTGGGAAGAACAAGTTCCCTTTTATAAAAGTTTACAGTAGCACAATTGAGGAAATGCTTGGCATCCATATGTTGTTGTCCAACAAAACAAAATAGGAAAATTGTTGATTGAAATTTTCTGGGGCGTGGACTATTATAGTATATTGAAAAATCAAAGAAAACTGCACACATGACTCAAACAAAACCGCTTTTCAATGCATCAAAGTCATCGAATATTTCAAAAATAAATAATTCTTTTCTAGCACTTTGCGTCGATTTCTATTTGTTAAATATTTTGTTTGTATTTTGTTCATCGAGGGTCGTCACAAAAACCGAATATTTGACAACAACAATAAATTTAGCACACTTTGTTGATTTCATCTTCAGACAAACGAACACAAAAAAACTAGCGCCAAGCGTTTTTGAATGCCAAAAATGTTCTAGCTAAATTATGGCTGGTTAATTCTCCTTTCGTTTTTTCTTTTTTGAAGTGCCAAATTTATTGGTTTCTTCCTCGTCTTTTTTTGCCTAACTTAATTTACATAGATGTGTTTTTATTCGCACATTATTCGATTGGGGGAGAAGTGAAAAATATAAACGCGCGCGCCGCTTTCCAAACAGCCGAACAACCGAACGCCGCGAACTTCGAACAAGACTGACCAAAGATCCGAAGACTGAAGACCGGAGACCGAAGACTGAGCAGATTCTACGGGCAGCAGCAGATCAAAAAAAGAGAGGAGCGCAGAGCCCATACATTTTAACCGATTCGCTCAATATCAATGTAATTAAGTTCTCCCTTTTGATCTCTTGGCTCTCTTTAAGCTCAGTTTTGAAAAAGCCGGCTTGGATTTGGAAAAGAGAGTGTGTGGCAGAGAGGCGCTGAAAGGGTAGAAAGAGATGGCAGAGGAGGGGCATAAGGGGGGGTGACGACATAAATAACAAGTGCTCTTGGCATTCGCGGCGTCGTTAATTCATGATTTCAATTTTTAATGCCCTGCGCCCGGCTTTTCAACAATTACAATACCAACAAAAGGTATGGGGCGATATAAAGAGGGCTCATCTCGGAAATAATGAAACGAAGAATTGGTACCCTATATGTCTATTAAACATATTTAACGTTTTCGAAAGGAAAGGGTTAAGGCATATATTATTCTAAATTAATAATGTATTAAAAAATAATATTTTTACTTTTATAATTTTGTTTGTTGGCGACCTTAGATGTATGTTTAATTTTTGAGTTTTTCCGGCTCGATGTCAAAAACTTTTATTTAACTTTTATTGAAAAATATTTTGTATCTACAAATTTAAATGTGATATTTCATTCGATGTTAATTGATTACATTACTTTATATTTTATGCAGAAGTGTTTTCGAATGAAAATTCAACCTATTATACTCCTTTTTAAACAGGGTATTCAAACCTCAATATGTTCAAGTTCAGCTTGGGTACTTTAATAACAGACTAAAGAGAGGAATAACAAAATAACAACACCAGAACAGCAAAAGAAACCAGCCGATGTCGTGTCTTAATAGAAGGCAAACTGACCGCCCGCATTTAAATCCCCTCCCTTCCCGTCATACCCTACCCCTCAATTTATGAAGTATTTTCCACCCAAAATGCGTGTCTTGAATCTTGACTTTGGAGCTGCATTTTTGCTGCGTGCAACACCCATCGCTTGTTGCATGCAGCTGCAGATGCAGCAATCAATCCCCTCAGTTTTGTGTTATTATTTTTCGCTATCAACGATTCGAACTTATCAAATTATTCTTTCAGCGCCATCACGTCACGAAATCTGTTTGAATGGAATGAAAAGAATCTCATAATCAGTCTTTTTTCGCCTTTTGGATGATCAGCTTGTTAAGTATAAATTCTTTTCACTCGCTCACCATACTCGAAACGTTTTATTTATATGTTTTTAATTGAGATTAATGAGCCACTTGAGGCAGCTCACAAAAGCAGCCAACCCCTCTTAACCCCATTGCCCCTTAACCCCTCTTCGCCCACTGACAGTTCACATTTCAGATAATTGAAATCACTTGAGGACCACTTGTTAAATGCTTAGGAAAAGGGCCACCCACAGAGGAAAATTTAAAAAATATTATTTAGGGTGGAATGAGTCCCAAAGAGCACTTAAGGGTTAAGTGCAGATGATGGCGATGACTTTTCCCCAATTCAGCCTGAAGTTATGCAATGTTTTTCATGGGTTTTTGTAAAATGTATCTTACTCTTACATTTTCCTTTTACTTGCGTCCTAAATTTATAATTAGTTGGTAAGCTAAAAAGGTCAATAGTTATTCACAAATATTTAAATGATTAGCTTTATTTTTCGGTTAAACAGTTTCCAATAATAATTGCACTATATTTTGTGACTGTGTGGGAAGAAATAGTTATAAATAAATATTAAACATACAATTAATGGCAAAAATTTCGACTGGATTGCGGCTGAAATTAATTTCTTATTCTAAATATAAATTAAAATTGTATTTGTGTCTTTTAAGCATTTGGGAATTCTCTAATTTAGCAAGCCTTAAACTAAATTTCAACTAATAAAATAAATAAATTAAAAACAAATTTTGAAAGAAAATCTTTTCTTTTGAACATAAAATAATTAAGCGAAAGCAAAAGTTCAACAGAAATTATAAATTCGTTAGAAACAGTTGGCAATCATGCAAAGTAAAATGGAAAACAAAACGGGGGAAAACTTCTAGCTCATAAGCTAGAATATGTTTTTGTGGAAAACATTGAAAATATTATGCCAACTAATTAATGGCAAGAATGTCGAGCATCGGCAGAGAAGCAAATGGCGCGGGTTAATTGGGCGGGAAATCGTTTTGTTTCATTTTTCAGGTGGGACAGGTGGTCCGGATCTTCTTCTAGAGAAATCCCTTGATCGTCTGCTTGGTTATATTCTCGTAGTATTTACTGCGTCGCCAGGACGTCGGCGGTTTCGATTCGTTGGGGTTAGTTGAAGCCGGAGCGGTATTATCAGCGGATCGGTAGCTCACCTCCGGCGTGTGTGCATTGGATATCCTGGGGACCTCCTCCGTCGTAATCCCAGTGGCCAAACTGAATCCCTCCACCTCACTATCCGATTCGATGGCCTGGGGCAGTTGCAGTGGCAGCAGTAGCTGCTGCTGCTGCTCCTCATCTGGCGTGGGCGTAACACTCTGACTGTGCAACTCAGCCACGCCCACCACACTGTCCTGATCCTCACTCTTCATCCTCTGCTGACGGGCCGAGAAGTAGCTCAGTTCGGAGCTATCGAAGGACATGTTGACCGGGGAAGGCGGCAGTTCGGGTATCTCGAAGGTGCTCAAAGTGGAGTCGTCCGCCTCGTCGAAGGAGTTCTTGGCCGATCCGATGTAGGAGCTAGTGCGTCCGGAGGCCGTTTGGAAGGAGGAGGAGTGCGAGTTGGGCGTGAAGTTGCCCTCGGAGGCGGTGGCGAAGGACTCGTCCTCTGTGGATCGGGAGTGCCAGTCCTGGAGAAAAGATACAAAAAATAGCAAATATATAAAGTTACTAAAATTCCCCGTTTTATCTTTTTCTTGAATAAAATCAATTAATTAATCAACTTAAATTTTTTTTAAAATTTTATGTGATAATACAATCAACAAGATTTTGAATAATTTAAGTTATACATACGGACGTTGTAAAATTCCCAAAATTACCAGTATTACGGTATTAACAATTTCATTCAAAATATATTGTAATTTTAAATTGGAACTTTACTGTTTAATATATTATTATTATAAACTTAGCTGCTTATTAAAATATATATTATATTATATATGAATAAATTTATTTTAGGACATACAAATAGTTTTTAATAAATATAATATCTCCTTATTTCAAGCTTACCTCAATGCTTCCCAGTTTCTTGATGCCATGAGCTCCGCTGCCATTGCTGATTCCTCCTCCAGCTGCTCCCTCCTGCTGCTGGACATCCCGGATGACTGCGTCCAGGGATTCGGCCACCTCGGCAATGGCTCCCAGTTTGTGGGAAATGGCAGCGCAGGCCAGTTCGTTGCTCCCCGTGGGCACCACCTGCACAGTGGCTGGCTGGGATTCCCCAGGTGCCTCACTTCCAGCACTGCTCGTCCTTCCACTGTCATGGAGTGGACTTGGACTGCAGTCCAGAGGAAGTTCATCGGCCACGACACTGAAATCACCAGAAAGACGAGGATTATCGGGTGCTCCGGAATCCACAGATGCAGTTCGTGAGTGCGAGGGCGTTTCATTGTCGGTGTAATCGCTGTGCGGATATGTTTCACTGTCATTCCGGATGAGGGCCTTGATCTTCTCCAGACTCTGGAGCGGTGGCCCATGGTCCACCTCATCCTCCTCTTCCTCGGTTTCCTCCAAGATTATATCCCTTTCTATAGAGGCCTTGGCTATTTTGGTCTTGACACTGGAAGTGCTGGCCGTCTCATCATCGTCATCGTCCTCGTAATCCTCATCTTCAGCTTGGGTTTCATCACCGCTCAGTTCGGGCAGTTTACTGGCCTCATTTATGGCCTCCAAAAGACGGCTGAGATCGCTAGAGGAATCACTTAGAATCTCTTGGGGATTCTGGGCTAAATCATCTTCTTCGCTGGCCAAAGGAGCAGTGGCAGCAGCCTGAGTTTGGGATTCATTTGGGGATTTATTTTCATTTTCCTGCTCGGAAACCTCGACCTGATTGGGTGGCTCATCCACCACAATGCTGGGCACTTCCGGCCTGGTGGCCACCATCTCCTCCTCCTCCGCCTCACCATCCCCCTTGGATTTGGCAAACAAATTACGAAATCTGGCAAACATTTTGAGCTTTTTCGAGTTCGTTGTCTAGTTGGCGCCGGGGAACAATTAGTTTGACGTAACGCGCTATAACACGTTTTTGGCTAGTGGCCAGTTGGAAGGGAGCTGTGTCTCTCTGATAATTGTGGATTCAATTATTCACTTTGCCGGGATTATCTTAGTACTGGGAGAAAGCGAGAGTGTCCCAAGAACCCAAGAAGACGACACTTCTATATTTAAAACACCTTCCTATCACAATGCTCCCCACTTTGACCCACTTGTCATGCGCCTCTTCTCCAGGAAATTCACTCTTTATCTGGTATCCACTATATATATATGCTATCTTTTCGAGTGTTCCATTCGCTTTGACAACCTGACAGTTGTCTTGAAATCTCCCGCTCCGAACCGAGAAACCAAATCGAATGAAGAAGGAACGACGAACCGCACTGGACCACGCACTGAAATAGACTGCTTGGATTTGGACGCCGACTATATAGCAGAAGTTCTTTTATTTTATTTCAATATTTTTCGTGCTCTTTTTCCGACTTTTGGGTGGTGGAACTTTTTGAATGCGTCGCTGACATTTGTTTCATTCTGTCAAAAATTATTTTTGGTTGTCTAGTCAGCGGTTACTTGGAAATTACTGTGCGGTTTGATGGGTCTTTAAATTGGTTTAAGACATGTTATCTCTATAATTCTTGTGATAATCATGTTCAATATCGAGTATCATTGGGACATTTATTGTTTGTTGTAAAAGTTATTATATTGTAGAAACACCAATTTTTGTTTTAAATCATGTAGGCAGGGTATTCTGTAAATTCTTCTTTAAGCACTTTTCTAAAGTTTTATAGTCTATCCTTTTCCTTTCAAGATCTACTTTAAAATGTTGTTATGTAATGCATTAATCTATTTTAAATTTTAATTCTTTTTTATAGTCAAAATAGGGCATTGGCAAGTTCTCTTTGCATTCTATATTTTTCAGTTCCCATTTATCATTTCGTTTAGTTTTATTTCTAGCAACTTGTTAGTTCCTTGCTCTTTTCGTTGTTTTTTTGTTTCTCAGTTAATTTGCCGCGAACTCGTGGGACTTGAGTGAAAATCTTTCTCATGTTTAGTTGATATGCAGAACGTTTGTCTAGTTTTCTTTACAAGTTTTATGCGCTGAGCATAATGAAGTAGTCGCCGATAGAAGATTAAAGTCCAAGCACTCACGCAACTGCAGTGGAATTAGGAATTATAATTCACTTGAACTCACCTCTTTCCTGTCAGTGCATCCAAGACGAAGGGCTCCTTAAGACGCTTCTTCAGCAGTCTTCCCAGTCTGACCATTCTTCCCACCTCCACGAGGAGCTGCTCCCTGGCCACCAGATGCCTCTGCAATCGCGGGGGCATTTCTCCCAGTGGAGATAGTTCCGAGTCCATTTCTCCCTCAGCATCACTACTGATGCCACTGCTACTGCGATTGTGCTGCTGCCTCTGCTGCTGTTGCAACTGGGCGGATAACTCCTGGGTCAGGAGAGGTCTCAGTTCCCTCAATTGCCGGTAGTACGCCTCCACACTGCGATGGAAAACGGCGGAGACCCGCAGTCTGGTCATCTGCTCCTGCGCCACGGACTGCAGACTGTGCCACGTGTACTGCAGTTCATCGCCGATTAAACTCTGGCCGGGATGGGCTTCTGGCCTAGATCCAGAGGGATCCAAATTGCAGCAGAGTCTCAGCGTTTGGGAAGCCTCCAGCAATTGACAGCCATAGTGGTAGATGCTCTAAAGCGAAAGTGGGGTTGTGATTAATTTTTAGAAATCATATTTTTTGGTAAGAAAACAAAAGTTATGGTTTTCAAAAAATACAATGTGGTTTTTTGTGAATCTGCGCCTTTTATTGAAAAAGGATTTTAACATAGTAAAAACTAATAATTTGGTGTATTTTATAAATTTTTAGTGCGAAACCACTTCCCACTTTTGTTAAAAAATCCGTTAAATGTTTTAATAAAATTAATAAGCACATAGTCTCAATAGAAGGGAACAATACTTTCTGCTTCGTTTGGTTTTTTGATTTTCTTATGATTTTATATTGGGTAATCTCTCTCTTTTTTATCTAAAATAATAAAAATCGATCTGTTTTAATACCAATAATAAAAATAAGAATATTTTCCAATTAAATTTAGTTTGCTCAGATAAAAATTTTTACGATTGTGGGCCAGTAAAACAACCAGAAAGGCAACCTTGTATCCACGCAATGAGGCCTTGATTTTCCGCCAGAAAGTTCGGCAAGCACTAAGTATTTTATCGGTCACTCTGCCGTTAGCCAAAGTGGCTCTCCCTTTCTCTGTCTTCCACTCGGCCAGACCCTCCATCTCATTCCCCCCCCAAAAAAAAAAAAGACGCCAAAAAAAGAGGGGAAAACTCACCCGTCCGGTTTCCTCGAACCCCCCCAGCTCGTCCTTCTGCAGCTGTATCTCGTGGATGTTGCAGCCAACATGGGAGTGGCAGCGCAGCAACACCGCATACAGCTCCTGCAGCCAGTCCCGCGCCCTCCGCGCGTCCTCCTCATAGGCGTGGATGTGGGTCACCTGCTCCAAGGTGAGCCGCTGCAGCGCCAGCCGATGGCCGCACACCTGACGTCGCCGCCGACTCTCGTCGATCTGCCGGCGCAGCTGGGCGATCTCCGCACTGTAGTCCAGCTGGAGGTCACGGCCCAGAGCGTCTTTCACCGGCATCGCCAGCATGTCGCTCAGCTTTTCACCTTCACGCACAAGTTCGCGCTCGACGTGGGCTGTGGATGTTAGATATATGCTTAGAAATCGGTTGGATGTTGGCTAAATCCAGTTTAGAGATCGGTTGGATGTTGGCTATAGCCAGATTTAAAATCGGTTGCATGTTGGCTATAGCCAGGTTAGAGATCGGTTGGATGTTGGAAGTCTCCGTGTTTTACGTTGCAGTTCGAGTTCGAAGAGATTTTAATAGTTTCAGTTGGAACAGATTTTAGTTGGAATATGGTTTTACAGATTTTACAGCTCGAGTTGCAACATATTTTCTTAGTTTTACTACTTGAATTTTTCAATACAGTGCATCCATTCATTGAAACTGGAAAGCGTGACTTTTGTATAATGTATATTTGATATATTTTTGCTCGCAATATTTGTTGTCATACTTGTGATAATTACCATAGCAATTTTGACATATTTTTGTCGAGGTTCGACGAGTTTAATTAGAAATGGGTTAACAAGGTTGTATTAATATTGTGAGTGTTCACAATTTCCAAACAAATTTTGAAAGCGTGACGTTTAGGTAAGACACCTTTCTATTTTGACTACATATTTTGCTACTCGTTCCTTTGATAAATTATCTGAATTTTCCCCATTATTTTCGTGGTACAATAAGGGTTATATAAATGTTGTTAAATATTTGAAAACTCACTTAACATCTGCTGGTTGTTCTTGAGCTGCATGAGTAGCTGCTCCGCCTCGGGCCAATCCAGCGATCGACTGTCCACCTCCACCACATGGTTGCCAGTGGCCAGCAGCTCCTCGAATTGATCAAGAAGGCGATGGAATCGCAAGGCGGTCATCAGGACATTCCTCCGTCGCTCCAGTCTCTTGGCAAAAGAACGGCACACGAACTGCATGAAATCCCGCTGCGAGAGCAGATCCTGGCACATATCTATGTCCTTGGCAGATGCCTGCCTCTCCCCCGCGAATCGTTCGATCTTGTAGAGCAACTCCGCATAGCAACCGTAGGTTTCCCGGCACTCCAGTTCCAGTTGATCGTGGGCGGATCGCAGGACCTCGCAACCCCGGACATCTCCGGCAATGCTCCTCTGGCGACTGAGTAGGTCCTCCGCCTGCTGCAGGATCCAGTTGGTGACAAAGGACACGCCCTCCTCCAAAGTGCAGAGTTCGCGTGCCTCCCTTAAAGATCGCAGCAATTCCAGCCAGGCGGTCCGAATGGCGGTCTGTTTCTTCTCGATCTCATTCAATCGCAACTCGATGCGGGCACGTTCACAAACGAGGTCCGGTGGCAGAGGGGGCTTTTGCGGGGGGTTACAGAGGTGGAGTGGGGAGGGGGGTTCAGGGGGGAGTCCGAGGCAGGTGCGACCGCTTGTGGCGGCGCTGAATGCGGCTCGTAGACCTCGTTGAAACGGGCCAAGATCGCGTTACCTGCACAATGCACAACATGCAATAGAGTCGAAGAGAAAAAGGGAAAGGGGATGAGAAATGTGCACTGAGAAAAATCTATAGGTCTTTTAAGATCTCTATACTATTAAGTCTAATCCAAATAAAGGCCTTTGCTGATAGGGATCTTCTTATCAAAATAAATGTAAATTTAAATAAATGTAATTCCTCAAAAATATTTTTCAGGCCCAAGGAATTCAGTTTCCAGTGCCATTTTCTTTTATATTAATTTTAGTATTTTATACTAGTTTTAATTTGACAAAATAAATAAATAAAATAAAAATATTGGTTAAAAGGTGTCTCTACTTGATTTAATAATTGTTATACAGTTTTTATATCTGTAAACATATTTATTATTGATAATCAACATAATCTGTTAATTGCGGTTGAATGTAAAAACTTATGCCTTTCCCACAAGTATAAATCATTATTTTAAACAATTAAAAAATGTTTAATTAACTGCCATTTCTCTCTGTGCACCTTAGGGCTTTCATTGCGGGGGGATCGGATCTATCGCATTCACACATCCACAAAAGTGAAACCTCATTCCCGGAGTGCCTCTAAATCTAAAATCTGAGTCTGGCTTAGCAGACTGTGGCATGTGCCACCATTTCGTTGCGCATCACCGACTTTTGTGGCTTTAAGTGAAAGGTCACGATTGTCGTTGTTGCTTTACTTGTCGCTTTGCCAAACCCACGCACTCAAATGAGAATTCGGCCGAATTTGAAGTCGTTGTTCAAATTGAAGTGCGAACACTGTTGAACACGGTTTGCTCACAGAAAGATGATCTTAACCGCAAATGCTTCTCGAAAATAACTTAATGAAGCCAGAAAAGTATTTCAGAAGGATGGGGTTCCTAAAAACTTGATTGGATAACAGTTTTTCTACTTACGAATAACCTGTTAATACACCGACAAAATTGACTTCAACATTAAACTATTAAGACGTCAATTAAATTCTATGAGTTGTGAAAATTCTTTTATAACTGTAAAATTATTATGATACTTTCAACTTGAATCACATTGAAATACTTAAAGTAACAAATTGGTTAAGGAATTGACATTAACTCTACGTTCATATGAAGCTTTATTCAATTAGGGCTCGTTTTTCAATCAATCAATCTTTTTAATTTGACAAATTATTATTAATTTAAAAATCATGCCGAGACAATACCTATTCAAAAAAGCCTGCAAATCTTTTTGCCTAAATTATAAATACGAAAATTTATTTCTAAAGACCTTCTGTAGGCCTCAGTTCCTAAGCTCACCATAGGCAATTTCAATGTTATTCAGTGCCGTTAAAATCGACCCACAATAAAAACGAAAACAAACGGCGCGAAAAACGAGTTTGCCAAACGTGGCGCATTTCTAATTGAAAACACACACGAAATTCAATGATTTACTTGTCACATGTGTGTCTTTCTCCCCCTTTCCGCATGTCTGTCTCTCCTAACTCGTTTGCTTCGAGGGCAAAACGAATTATGTTAATTGCTTGGGGGCAAAAAAAACGACTCAAAAAACAAAAGACTCAAACGACGAACTGGACTCACCCATGTCAATCGCCGATTCTATGTCACTTTGGACACCGGCATGCAACTGGGCGCACTGCTTCAGCTCCACATCCGCTTCCGCTGGCCGCAGAGATTTGTGCCCCCGAAGAAGAGCCAGCAGCTTTTCCATCGACCCCAAAGTCCGCACATGTGCCTTGGTAAACTCGTCGATGGACTGCGAAAATATATAGTCATTATGTGCCGTTCGAATGGGGCACAAATTGGGGCACTTACCTTGCGCTGCTGCAGCCACAGATCGTAGTTGAACTGCAAGGTGCCGCCCAGCTCCTCCGGCAGGTTCTGCGGCTCTATGAACTTGCCCAGCCTCGCCTTCGACAGCACCAGGGGCTAATTAAATAATACACAGAAAAAATTTATAGATTTTATGCCAATTTAAACATTTTTTGCAAGATTTCAAGTCAAATAAAAACATTACTAAATATATCATAAACAGAATTTATAGTCATTTAATGCTGATTAGGTCTTTTAAAAATTTTAAATATAAAATATACATATTATAAAAATATAAATAAGTCACAAAAAAATAATTCTGATGACTAATATCACTTAAAGAATTTATCATGCTAATAACATAATCACTTTGATGTTTACCTAAATAACAATATTTTGTGAAACAATTACAAAAATCTTTATTTTGAAAGACAGTAAAATATATATGAGATAGATAAATATTTCCACTACTTAAACTTTTATTTAAGATCGTAAATTAAGTAAAATATTTTATAAAAACACTTACTAAAATCTTAACGTTTTTGAATATAAATGAAAACTTTTATTGCAGGTAATCATTGTGAATGTGAACGCCACTATTTTTATATGGAATGTTAAGTAATAAATTTGTTAAAGATTATTTAAGATGTCTTGTTTTTTCTCCAGGTGTACCTATTATTTTATTTAAATCTAGGTCAGTTGCTTACCTCTCCCTTGACCTGGGACTTGGTGCACGGCTCCACATGCTTCTCCCAGAAGCCCCCCGCCCTGACTAGATACAGATCCACGTTGATGTCGCCCCCGAAGAGGGCGTATATTTGGCGCACCTGCTGGCGCGAGATCCGCGAACTACTCTCCTGGGCATTGACCACCACACTCACTCCGTTCTGCAAGACCGAAGCGCTGGAAGAGATTAATACCGAGATGGTTAATCGGTTGGGATCGGAGGAAAGCGCTTTAAATGCTTCATTAGCTTGCCAGTTAAGATTTGGCTTAATTAACCACTCTTTTCTTGTGACCCATTGCCAGTTGATTGATCACAATCAATATTTCCATAATTCATGTGGCCTCTTCTCTGTCTTTAAGAGTGAGTTTGATGGCTACCTCGTAAAATTAAACAATTTGCTTGTTGTGCCAATAAACAAATGAAATTAAAATGGGGAAATAACAAAAAAAGGGCGGAGCCGAAAAATCTATAGGCTGTTTTTTGTGGGTCTGTGAATAGGGTATGTGTGGTATATCATTTTCATAAATTAATTTTAAAGTTTTTGTTTTAAGGTTGTATGCTAACATTATTAACATTTATTTTTAAAGATAGTGTAAAATTACTAACATTTTCTCTATTTAAATATTGCCTATGCTAATTAAAGGTAAGTTAATTTTTCTTATAAAGCTTATATCATTTCAAAAGCATTTATATATAATGTTTTCTCACAAACAATGGTTTAAAATTTATAAAGCCATTACTATTTATTACTATTACTATTACTATTTTAACTATTATTTATTTTATATTTATTTTCTAATATACTTTTAACAGAATCCATGTCTTTAAAAACTTTGAGCATTAAATATTGCCTATGCTGATTAAAAGTTAGATAATTTTTCTTATAAAATCTATATCATTTCAAAAGCATTTATATATGATGTTTTCGCGGAAATAATGATTTAATCTTTACAAACCCCAAATAATAATATATATAATAACATTATTCAACTAATATTTATTTTATATTTATTTTCTCATTCACATTTAGCAGAAATCATATGTCTTTAAAAACTTTAAACAATAATTAGCTTGAGAACTCTGACACTTTGCATATAAATAACCAGCTTTGGTGAGGCCTACTCCGCGCCTATAACCCCCTTTCAAAACCCCCCTCCCCCAGAAACCCGTGTCTAATGAAAAGTAATGCATTAAGAGACGACAAAAAAAATAAACCTTCATCATCTGCGGGCTATTTGCATATTTCGGCCATATGCTAATGAGGCCGAGTCGTCGGTTTTGGGCTTTAAATGCCTAAGACCACTTAATTCCCGATTCTCACCTGAGAGACCGCTTCAGATAGTCCAGAGTCACCTGCAGATAGCGGCGATTCCACAGCTGCAGATCGTTGAACGCGTGGACCACGAAGATGATGCGCTTCTGGCGGTCGAATCCGCCGGATAAATAGGCGCATCTCGTCTGCAGGGCATTCAGCACGTCCTCCTCCATTTACAGGGATTTTAATGATGGGATCGCGATGATGCGGCTTCTTTAAATGCTAATTGAAGCTTTTGTCGCCGCACATTTTTCTGCTGAGACATACACGACGGAATTAGGATTTTCTTTTTGTTTGCAGCTTGGAAAAGCTTGAAAATTAATACAAGTCACAGTTATGCGAGTTGTTTTCGTTGCTGCTGCTGTTTTTCTTGCCGCTGCACAATGCTGCACATTTCCAAATGCCGCGAGACTTTGTTGGGGAACACGTTTGACAAGTTGCAGCCTGAAACTTCGGTTGCCTTTAGTTTACTTTACTCTGATGCACAGAAAACAATATTTAAAATTATTTAAGAGCTATTTTGAAAGGGGAAATGGCATGGCATTATAATGCCATAATCTGCCATTTATCTAAATAGTTTATATTTATTTTTTTGTTTGGCCTTTATACCTAAAGCTATGTGTATTAATCCAGAATTAAATCTTTAAAAAAAGCTACCCATTTTTCTCAGTGTCTAGCCAGTCTCTCCACATGATTTTCACTATTTTCATGTTAGTTTAAGACTTTTTGTTGGTTTTTTTTTCCTATTCGGGGTCTCTATCTCTGGGGCCTAATGGAAAAATTCCATTGTTGCGCATGAGTATTTTGACACAAATTGAGGTTTTAGCTCTTTTCCAATGCCGGCCAGCAGCAGCAGTTTGAACTTAATTTGTCGGTTGATAAGGGGCGCGGCAGACTCAAACACTATATGCCACATAGAGCAGCAAAAGAGGCAAGTAATTCTTTCACTTGTGTGCAAGAAGTACGTGCAAAAAATCCTGTTTGCTGCCAGTCTATCTTACAGTTATGCGTAAGTGGTCGATGCCTCTTTTCCTGCCTCTTGCTTTTCCCATTCCTGTGCCAATCTTGCTCCGTTTTTTTTACTATACTCTTTAAGAGGGTATTCAGATTTTGTATCAATTTTTAGAGTATTCCAAAAAATATTTAAAATTATATTAATGATGTTAACTAACAAACTAACTATTATGTCTTGGGAATAAGATGAGATTCAATTATTTTACTGACATTTAAAGGTATATTTGGTAACTAATTCCAATGTTGTTTTGAGATTTTTCTCGCTCTCAAAACTAATACATTAGACCTCAAAATTTGTAAAGGTCATATAAAAACAATAAAATTCGTCAGCAATAAAAACTGTTCATTACTAATATCGCTTTCAATAAACATTATTTATCAATATATATTTTATAAACCTTTTTGACCTCTTAGGGTATAACTATTGTTAACTATTTAACCCAACTTCCCTTCCCGTTTTTATGTTCTATGTTGGCAAAGCAATTTGCACTACTTGGCTTGACTCCGGGCTTTGATGGCTGGGCCGTGAGCAACCTGTTCCTTTGGCCGCTTTTGGGAAGCTGTAATAATTGTCATAGCCTAGCGGTTTTCCCCCTCCTCAAGCCCCCCCTCTCACCACCCCTTCCGCATTGGATTTCAATTAATGGCAGAGGACAGGTAAAAAACAACCTTGCTGCAGCAACTTCGGTAAGGAGCATACATATTACTGGTTTCAAATGTCAGCATATGAATTACTCGCAAGTATGAACAGAGTTATGTCTATATTTTTATATCCCACTGAGCTCAGCGAAAAAATTCACGAAAAGGGTAGCTGAAAATTGAGAACGCCGCGGGGCTCGAAATGCTTCGAATCTTTGGAATCGGGCACACCTTTCGGCCTAAAAAAATCACTTCCAAAATAGACAACAGCAACAACAACCGTTTGAGTTGCTGTTTTGTTTTCTTTCAATTTCGTTAAACTTTCTTGAGAACTTTTTCGGTTTTGTTTTCCGCGGCCTGACTTTTATATTTGGTTTTTTATGATATGACAAGATAAGATCTATGCCAACGACGACGGGCTGTTAAATTAATTGAAAAGTTCAGCAGGAACAACAAAAGTCATTAGCATTTCTCCGCACAAAATTTGTTTTAACAGCTGACAAATGTTTTCAAAATGAGTTTTAAGTTCATTCTGCGTGTTGTTTAATGTTGGGTAATTTGACTTGGCTTGATATACAGCGACACTTTATCGATTGGGGTCGTGGTCTTACTTTGGGGAAAAATTTCGAAATTTAGGGAGCTCTTATCGCTTTTTTCGACACCTAAATTTAACCGAGACGATATCGATATCGTTCATCCGCCCCGTCCGCCCGCATGGAATTCTCGCGCTCAACTGAAAGTTTTGAAAAGTTACCTCCAATTTCGATCTTAACCACGATCTATGCGAACCTGGTTCGAAGTTCGAGTTGCGGTTCGAAGTGCGTTCGAGTTGCAGTTGCTTGCGTGTCAGCTGTTTTTTGTTGCATTTCAATTGATCCCCGCTTTGTAGTATTTTTTATTTATTTTCATTTGTTGCTGCACTGGCTGATTGCCCCGTACGATTTGCCCTTTTTTTTATGGGGCGCCTGAAAAACCGGTTGGGGATTTCTTTTCCGCCAGGCGCAAAATTAAAACAAAACATGCGTTTTGTCCGCCAATGGAGATATCGGAGATTCTGTGGGAGCTCTTTGTTTTTTTTTTATTTATTCCCACTTCTTTTCTTGGGTTTTAAGTGGGTATGATGAACTCGGCAAGAAAGTTTTAAATGTGGGAATTTATTTAAATAAGAGACACATTTTAGGAATTCATTAGACTGCGGAACTGAGTGAAAAAGAATGCATAATTATCTTATTTATTTTATTTAATTATTCAGTTTTATTTTATTTAAATTACTATTTTCTTTTTAAAGACTTAATTTATTTAAACTCACGCACTAGAGCATATCATATCTTTAAGACTTACTGATATAACATTTAGTTCTTTAAAATACTTTACATTTTGTTTCATTATATTTCTTATTTCTCACCAAAAAAGGCAAATTTATTGATATTTAATATCTAATAATATTTTACGGTTTACATAAAGTTAAAAAAAATTAAATCATAAATAGCTTTTAAAATTAATTGATGGGCATCATCCATTCGATTCATTTACCTTAATCTCTTGAGGCATTTTTTGCTGTTGTTTTATCCCTGTATCGCTTGACGTGGGAACTTTTAATTGTGTGTGCATGGGATTTCAGACAATACCAGGAATTGTTGTCCACTTCAGCATCTTCCGTAAAAGAAAAGTACTTGAAAATGCAAAAGGATATTTAGTATGCTTCTCTGACAGCGCAAATATCAAAGATTTATTTTTCCCCGGCAAATTAAATAGAAAAAAGAGAGAGCAGCCCAGAACATTTTCAGACTTCACTTGTTTATGAAAGGGGACAAAAACAAATATCTCCAACCAAAAAGGGTCACATCCGCGCAAAATAGGGCTTAAAAAGGTCTGTGGGTTACGACCCTTATAAACATGTCAATCAGAAGTAAATTGTAGCAGATTTAATGGTCGTCCAAGGAATGTGGGTCTGTCAAAAGGAATCCCCATCTCGACCGACCGAACTCACTGAAATGCAAACGGCTTTTCACTGCTTTGTCAGCAGTGCCAAGAAGTACAGTGAGCTCTCGGAAGTTAGACGTTGGAAGGAACTTAAAAATTAAAATACAAATAGGACGTAAAAATGCTGATCCAAATAAAATTTCTGTCAGCGAAACTATGCGCACAATGATATGATTATATATTTTAAAGTATCCTTTATTATTATAATTGATTTTTTTTATGTCCTGAAATATAATTGTTTCTTATAAATGTAATGACTAGACTTTAATTTTATATATTTTTTAAATCAAACAAAAATGTAAGCTTTAAGTTAACAAAAGAACTAAATATATTATTAAATTGTTTTCGACATGATAGGATTTCAAATTTTAGGGTCATTATAATGTATTCTTTAAGGGGTAAATAAATTTAAAAAATTATTCAATGGAATGTTAAGTAAAAGAAAACATTTTTGATGTCTGAGGTTTCTTGGAATACCTTTTACTGTACCAAATTTGCAGAACGTCCTGTCATAGATTTCGCTTTCCATTTCACTGCCCTCCATGAATTTTCTAGGCGCGATGGTTTTGTTTAATGAAACTTAAAGTGCGTGCCAGTGCGCCCGAGCACGTATCCTTGAGCTCCTGTGGACGGATACTTGGGGGCCGAAAGGAGAGGAACTGGAGGCTGATGAAGTCGGGGTTGCACTCAATTGCAAAGCCCGGCCGCAAAATGGCGTCGAAAGCACTTCCGCTTAAGCTAAAAACAAAAAGTCATGCAACCGGAGCATCATCGGACGTGGAAAGTTGTTTTCCTTTTCTTTTTTTTTTCTTCTAATATTACTGGACCTCCTCCTCTTGACGGCTTTAACAGCTATTAGAAAATTGCGAAAATTGCGCACACGTTTTCACAGAGAAAAGCGAACGTTGCATGCGGCAGGGCAATCGAGTGCAGTTTGTGGCCTCAGATTTATTGCACCGAGCTGGGAATATTCGAGATGGCCGGCTCGCATTTTAAACAGTTTTCGTTAAGTTTGGTTTATTAAGCCCCACGCCAGGCCTCTGCATAATTCATTTGGTTTAAGGGTTTTCCACCAATTCATTTCAATCAGGCCAAGAGCGAACTGTGGTGGTAGCGAATCGTGTGGCTCGTTTTAAATCATTAAATGCGGTAGTTTTGGACGACTTATGGGCCCGGCCAAAAGGTGTGCCAGGTGATGTTTATTGGACGGATGCATGCCGCATCGAAAGTGCTGCGGATTCGCTTTAAAGTTCTCCGAGGAAGTTTACGTACTTCACCTTGAACATTTTCCCATTTGCGGTTAAAGTTTATGGTGGGAAACTCTTATTTAACTTTCTTAAGTTTAGCTCCTGTTTTATGTTTTATGTTATTGATCGTCTGGAGGTCAGTAGGAGTTGCGGAAATAAAAAAAAATATAACTTGCTTAAACTTTAATTCATCATATACGTTTTCTTAACTTTATCGAACATTTTGTTTGCAAACTTGTTGTTAAAATTTCATTGAATTAATTTTTTTTTCAGATTTATGAAATTTCTGAACAGTTTTTCATTTTTTTAAATTAATTTTTCTCACAGATTTATGAAGTTTTTGAACAGTTTTTCATTTTTTCACCAGCTTTTTCAATTGCCAACAAAAATTTTATTAAATTCTCCCAAGTTTCCCACAAGAAATTCACACAAATCCTTACCTATTTTAATATTCTAAGCAATTCAATTTATTAAAGTCACTTATTGTACCTTTGAGAATATTTAAAAAATTTAAAATGGCTATCAACGCTGCAGAAAAAGTGAGTTTTAGATTTCGTATAACAAATTGCTTTGAACTTTTTCAAATTAACTGCAAGTTGATTTAAGGTTTGCTCAAGTTTCTAGACCAAATTTCCATAAATCCCTATTTCGCGGAAGTGTTCACCCAGTGAAAATTATGGCTTTGTTTCACTTTCATTAAGTGCCTGCCCGGCGTTTCCCCGCAAATTCATCAACTTTCCTGGCCATTAGCTGGCGAAAGGCCCCAAACCCAAAACATACACGTTCCTCGAACGATTTTCTTAACCTCTTTAAGGCTGCTTAACTCAATATCACACCAAACGAAATTGTTGCTGAAATTGGAGGCGGAAAGCGTTCAAGTTTCCGAGCCATTCAAAAGGGAATTTAAGTGCACACGAGCCGGGAATCGCCGCCCAACCCACTTTAATTTGCCAAGTCTAGGCATATGCCATCAAGGCCTTATGGTTTCCACCTTCGAAATGCCAAAAAATGAGAAAAGGGAAACCCTGCGGCGTCTCTGATTACAACCGAAATATGCCACGTGTAGGTATGCACAAGTAGTACATATTTCTGTACGCTTGTTTAGCTCTCTAAAATGGCAAAATCGATAGTAAGAAAGGAATTTTCCTGAATTTTCCTGAATTTTCTTGCCTTTCCCACTCGAACGTTAATTGATTGAATTAGTCAGCCTGGCGATGAGACAAAATTAGGAAGCTCCGGCCATAAATATTAATATGTACCAATCAAAATGTATGACAAGAAAACGATGCGATTCAAATTCAACAACTTCCCGGGCAACAACAAAGTGTTTAATTTAATGAATGCTACTCGAATTTCCTCACCCATTTCTGGGAAACAGGCCTAAAAGTAGGCAACAGAAATTATATACGAATCTTAATACATTTTCCATGAAGCAGGCTACTTTTGTTTGAGCAGTAAAATTTTTTTTTTTTTTTTTTTTTTTTTTTTTTTTATAATTTAATTTATATTTTTATTTGGTATTAACAAGTTTACTGTTACCGCTGAGGCAACTTGATCTAGTTACATATGGGAAAAACAAAAACAAAAAGATCACTTGATCACATATACAATATCTTACATTTTACTACATTCATATACATTTATGTTATACATTTATGTTATGGCCCTTGAGGGTAAATCGGCTGGGTGGCATCTTTTTAGGCGTCTTCTCGTCGGTTGCGCTGCTAACTGTCTGGCCAATGCGTTAGGATGGTTTCCAAGGCGTTGCACATAGCCGGTTGCCAGGTTTTGTAAAACGTCTCCGACCTTGGGGATCTTCAGGTCCCTCTCGATGTCCCTATTTCGGATGTACCATGGGACGCCGGAAATTTTCCTCAAAATTTTGGATTGCGCCACCCTAATTTTATTTAGATTGGACTTCGCTGCACAGCCATATATTTGGAAAGCGTATTTCCATATAGGGCAAAGGATCACCTTGTATATTGCAATCTTATTGCGCAGGGTCAGCTTGTTCTGCGGTGAGAGCAGCCACTCCATTCTCTTGGCCTTCTGCAGGACAGAATGCTTTACCATTGTGGTGTGTGCTTGGAAGTTGAGCGTCCTGTCAAGTATGACACCCAGGTATTTGTGGGACTCTTTGTGCTCCAGTGTAGAGCCCGACATAGTGATCGCACCGCAGGACTTAGTTCTCGTTGAGAAAGTAACGTTTGCGCACTTACTGCTGTTGACTCCTATGTTCCACTTCTTTGCCCAGTTATCGAAGCTGTGAACATAGGTTTGTAGAGCTTGCCAAGCTGTGTGGATAATTGGGCTTCTCGTCAGCACGGCAGTGTCGTCAGCAAACGTTGCAATAAGAACATCGTTCACATCAATCCCTGCTATCGCCTCAGCGGTTGGCATATCTGCTGTGTATAGCGTATATAGCGTAGGCCCAAGCACGCTTCCTTGTGGGACGCCTGCACATATTGGACGCAGCAGGGATTCAGTTCCATCCACAACCACTTTAAAGCTTCTGGCCTGCAAGAAACTTCTTACCAGTTGGAACAGTTGAGGAGTCAGTATGCTTTTTAACTTAAAGAGCAGGCCGTCGTGCCACACCCTGTCAAAAGCCTGCTGAATATCCATGAACACGGCCAACGCATATTCTTTCTCTTCCATTGCACTTAGGGCGAAGTTCACCACTCGATGCAATTGCTCCGGAGTCCCATGGCCTCGCCTAAATCCAAACTGCCACTTTGGTATTTGGCGCTTTACCGCTTCAAGTTGAAGGATCCGGTTGAGGACGATTCTTTCTGCCATTTTCCCAAGCGCAGGAAGCAGGCTTATTGGACGGCAGTAAAATTTAGCTTGAATTTTGGGTATTTAATTTGCATTCATTTGGTTGCTTGATTACTTAATAGAACTCGATTTTGCTACTATTCGCATTCTCCATATTCAATGTCAGGACAAGTTTAGCTACCTTTCAAGGACATTTTCAATTGGCTCTCGATGCTGCTTAACTTTTTGCACTCGGATCGAAATCTATGGCATCGATTGCGCTAATTGTTCTAATGCGCTCAAGCTGTAAGCTGCTTAAAATTGCTTAAGTCGTAAGTCGATAGACAGCGGGTGAGCAGGAAATAATCAAAAAAGGATCTAAAGGGGAGGGTATCCATTTATCCGGAAAAAAGACTGCCTTCCAAGAAATTAACTTCACCAAGGTAATGGCTAATAAATACATATCAGACATGGGAATTAATGAAGCTACGTTAAACTCATAAAGTACTGATAACTGATAAATTGTGCTACTTTTTCTTGAAAATTTGTATTCCTCTTTAAAACAAAAATTAAAAATTTAATTCGAATATATTTGAAATAGAAATATTAAATGATTTAACACCTAATATTATTGCCTAACTAATATGGTCTTTAAATAGAATTTTCAAAATGTAATCAAAAACAATTTTTATCATTTATAATTATTAATTATTTTTTTTTGTCGTTAAATAACTTGCATATTCTATAATGATTGTCTGTCATTTAGCTATATCCTTAGACGTGCCCTTCTTAAAGTTACAAATAAAACTAAATATATGTTTTACATCGTAGCTAAGTCTTTCCAGGTGTTTATCTTAAGTTTCCAATGAATATAGTGAGCTGGAACCAATTGTATAAGTACCCATTCAAAGAAATCCAAAGTATACAAGTAATCCCTTAGGCATATAAAGTATCTTACAGTTTGCTGCGTTTATTTTTACTAATTTCAAAGAATCTCTCCTGAGCCCTGCGTTTTTCGTTTAAACTAAGTTGTTGCTCCTTGCTGGTGAGTGACCAAGAAGTCAAGGTTGGAGGTCGATGATGCCGGATGAAGGGCACTATGTAGCGGGCACACTCCTCGGCAGCATGGAGATGGACATGATGGGTTCCACCCTCCACCTCGTAGAACTCAAAGTGCGGATTGTTTTGGCCCAGGATGGACATAGGCTCACCACATTCAACTCCCACATACGGTGACCTTGATCCTTTGATGATCAGGTAGGGCTTCCTTCGGATCCTTCCCGCCATTTCCGCTGCGAGTCCGGTTTCCACAGGCATGGAGTGATAGTATTTCACCCTTCCATCCCTGGAGAAAAAGAATCTGTCTGGGTAAAGTTGGGATTTGGCCACCTGGCGATACAACAGGTGTTTAGCAAACTCGGGAGTCACCGAATTGTAACTCCCCTTGGCGAGGACTTTGGTCAACTGGGAAAGGGTGTAGGAGGGCGGCTCGTGCAGATTACCCTCCTCCTGACGATCCTCTTCCACCAGGTGCTTGTCCATTTCCTGGGCCACTTGGGCAAGTGCCATTCTGGGATCTCCCAGTGGCCTAGGCAACAAGATGTCCAAGGAGATGACCATATCCACCGTGTTTGGAGCCAGGGAAGTGTAGAAGAAGCTAATGATGCCACCCAAAGAGTGACCCATCAGGGAGACTTTCGACCATCCGTACTCCTTCATTATCCGGGGAATGATGTAAATGTAATCGTACATGTTGTAGTGCAGACCCGGCTGAAGGCGAGAGGATCTTCCATGACCGGGAAGATCTATGCAGAGTACTCCTATGTAATCCGGAAGTAGGGGAATCAGGCGATCAAAGGTACCCAGGTTGTCCAACCATCCGTGGATTGCCAGGATCGGTCGCTCTGTACGGTTGCCATACCAACGACCTGAGATGTGACCCCAAGGTGCCGGAATTCGCACCTCTTTGAACTGTAAATAAATAAAAGTAAAAAAGATTGAATTAATCTAAGGTCATAAATTAAATAGGCATAATTTGAATTAACAAAATTTCGATTTAAATATTTTAAATGATCGATTAAAAAAAATTCTTTTGATGAACTACAGATTTTCTGATTGTAAAACATAAAGTCATTAGAGTAAATTCTAAATGTGTTAAAATTTACCAGTTTATTTCCCACTTTTCCCAATAATCAAATTATGGTTTAATAATTTCAGTCAAAAAGTAAGAGTAAGCAAATGAAGGCTTTGTAGTGCAGGCTATTTCTTGTTATCTCTTCTCTTAGCTTTATTATTTTTTTGCTTACTCACATCACTCAATGACAAAGTTCCCATCTCGACTGCTTTTTGAACTTTGCTGCTGGTAACTTTAAAACAAGATCCAGTAATTGTGGTTCCACGTTCAGTATTATCCTAATTATTTAGCCAAAATACAAACGTTACAACTATATTTCGGCAATAAAATATTTTACTTCTTTCACGTGCAACAGTTGTTCGCCGACTAATTCGTTATATCGATTTTTTTCGCTTTAAAAGCTAACTTAAGAGAAAAGCTAGAAGAGAGCAAGCCGATAAGAGCGTGGAAAGACTTTAAGAGTGGAAAGAAAAATATTTAAAGAGAAATAAAATATTACTATCTTTTGGTACGAATTAACGTTATTATTACTTCATTAAGAAATTTATTTATATGATTTTTGTTATTATAAAAAGATTAAAATACCAATGACCTGAGTGGTACAAAAACAACATTTTCATATTTTCAACATATTTTTCATAGTTGAGCTTAAGATAAATAAATTGGAAGCCCCGATATTTAATTTTGCTCTGATTATAGTACTTAATGACCTGATATGTGTTGTAATGGTAATTTAGTAATATACAGTAATCAGCTTAATAAAGTGTTTAGTAATCACAATCTGCTAGCATAGCCTCAATAATACATTTTGTGTTCTACATAGATATTTTAAAAACAAATCAATAATCAAGTGTAAATTTCACATCACCACATAAAATACTTCACAATTTGCTAAGTTGGTTTTGGCTCCTTTCAAGGACTCTTTCTTGTTCCCTGCGTTTTTCGTTGGTGCTTAGTTGCAGTTCCTTTCCAGTTAAGGACCAAGAGGTCAGTGCTGGAGGTCGATGATGTCGGATGAAGGGCACTATGTATCGAGCACACTCCTCGGCGGCATGGAGATGGACATGATGGGTACCTCCTTTCACCTCGTAGAACTCAAAGTGCGGATTGTTTTGCCGCAGAATGGCAATGGGTTTTTCGGTGTGAACTCCCACAAACCGAGAATCAGATCCTTTTATGATCAGGTAGGGCTTTCTTTGGATCCGTTTTGACATTTCCTCAATTAGTCCAGGATCCATGTTAGTTAGATTGTAGAATTTCACGCGTCCATCCCTGGAGAAGTAGTATCTGTCCGGGTAAAGTCGCGACTTTAGCACCTGCCGATGAAGAAGGTGCTTGGCCAAATCAGGTGTCACGGAATTGGAACTCCCCTTGGCAAGGACCTCGGTCAACTGAGAGAGGGTGTAGGAGGGCGGCTCGTGAAGATTACCCTGACGATCCTCTTCCACCAGGTGCTTCTCCATGTTGTGAGCCAGGATGCCAATTAACCTTTTAGGAACTGGTGTCCCAGGAACCACAATGTCCAGGGAGATGACCATATCCACGGTATCAGGAGCCAGTGAAGTGTAAAGAAAGCTCATGATGCCACCCAAGGAGTGGCCCATCAGGGAGACTTTCGACCATCCGTACTCCTTCATCACTCGGGGAATGATAGACACGTAGTCGAGGACGGCATAGTGCATCCCTGGCTGAATGTGAGAGGACCTTCCATGTCCGGGAAGATCGATGCAAAGTACTCCTATGTAATCCGGAAGTAGGGAAATCAACCGGTCGAAGGTGCCCAGGTTGTCCAACCATCCGTGGATTGCCAGAATCGGTCGCTCCTGTCGATTTCCATACCAACGTCCAGCGATGTGACCCCAAGGTGCTGGGATTTTCACCTCCTTAAACTGAAAATGCAATAGAAATTAGTATTATGCATTTATGTAAGACAATGGTTTTAGAACATCGTATTAACGTTCTTTATATTTCTTTATTGCCCGAGACAAACCAGTTTTCTGGAATAAATTCTAAACAGATCGAATCAGAGATCAAGTTTATATCAATGACTTTAGAATTTCACTGTACTGCATTAAAAAAAGCTTGGTTCCGCAAATTCAGCTTATCTCTTTTTTCGCTTATTATTTTTTATTTGCTTACTCACATCGCGCAATGACAAAGTTCCCATCCAGACCGACTGCCTTCCGAACTTTGCCCGTCGCCAACTTTTAGACTCGGTCCAGTAATTGTGGCACCACTTCTAGTATAATCTTAAGTATCTTGCCAATCGTTCGATTCCGGAATTGATTCTATATAATTTCACCTGTTACAGCTAGAACAGCTGTTCGACGACTGATTCGCTTTATTATTCTAGCTCGCATTTTAGACCACCAAAAAAGAGATTGTAGAAATTAGCTTTATAAGAGAATGTGGGTACAGAGAGCTTGACATTGAAAAGAGAACAAATTTTAGATCTCTTAAAGATACCGTAGTATCGTACTGTAATGCTTATAAATATCAAGATCTGTAAGCACCAATTATTTTATTCGTTCAGTAATTTTGTTTACAATTTTCATTCTTAAATCTCGGCATTAAATTGATTATGAATTTAAGTATTTACTAAATAACATTTAAATATATTTGTTTAAATGAAAAAAAAAGTGTCAATACATATTAACTAATAATGGCAAAACAGTTAAGAAATCAAATTTTTACACTTAGGTTAGAAATACAAATGGTAAATAGTTTTAAAATTGGATTTACTAGAAATATAAAAGTATCAGTAACCAGGTTTTAAAATATTATTATCTATACTTTACAACTTGCTGCGCTTTTTCTTAGTCCAGGCCAAGAATCCTTTCGGTTTTCTAACGATAGTACTATCCCCGTTTCCCGTTATTGTCCAGGAATTCAAGGCAGGAGGTCGATGATGCTGGATGAAGGGCACTATGTATGTGGCACACTCCTCGGCGGCATGAAGATGAAGATGATGAGTACCGCCCTCCACCTCGTAGAACTCAAAGTGTGGGTTATCCTTGGCCAAAATGGAAATGGCCTCGTTATTGCGAGCTGGCAGATATGGCGACAAAGAGCCCTTTATAATAAGGTACGGTTTCTTGTGGATCTGTCTCGCCATTTCAGCTCCTAGACCATCGTCAATGTCCATGTAGTGGTAGTATTTGACACGAATATCCCTGGAGAAGTAGAATCTCTCGGGATACAGTTGCGACTTGGTCAACTGGCGGTGCAGCAGGTGCTTAGCCAGATCCGGGGAAACGGAATTGAAGCTTCCTTGGGCCATGACCTTTCCCAACTGAGGGAGTGTATAGGAGGGTGGCTCACTGTAGTTTCCCAGCCTCTGCCTCTCAACATTCAGCAGTTGCTTCTCTAAGCTCAGTTCCATATAGTCTATATCATTCCTCATTGGCAGCAATATGTCCAGGGAGACCACCATATCCACTGTGTGAGGGGCCAGGGAGGTGTAAATGAAGCACAGGACTCCACCCAATGAGTGACCTATCAAGGAGACCTTCGTCCATCCGTACTCCTTCATCACTCGCGGAATGATGAACACGTAATCGTAGACACTGTAGTTCATTCCCGACTGAAGGTGCGAGGATCTGCCATGTCCTGGCAGATCGATGCAGAGTACTCCTATGTAATCCGGGAGTAGGGGAATCAGCCGATCAAAGCTGCCCAGGTTGTCCAACCATCCATGGATCGCGAGGATGGGTCGCTCGTTTCGATTGCCATACCAACGACCCGAAATGTAACCCCAAGGCACAGGAATCTTCACCGCTTCGTACTAAAAAATTAAAGAAAATTAATGACTATTGGATAAACATTGGATTCAAACATTCAAAAAAATACTTGGTTTAGATTTTACTAAGTCTTTTTTTCACTTTTTTCAAACTACAGCAATCTGGTTCGTGTCCCAGCTTAAGGTTTAATTATGAATTGTTAACTCTTTATTACTATAGATTACAAATTATTAATTGGTGGGCAAAGGTCGCCTTTATATCAGCTAATTTTTCCGATGTTTCTTATGGTTTACTTACATCAGTCAATGATAATTTTCCCATTTCATCCAATCTTTGATTTGTTTAAATTATATTGTTTTAGCACAGACTTATTATCTTGTATGTTATTGCAAAAAAAAAGTGTAAGTCTGTTTTAATTATGCGACCTACACCATTCACATCTATGCACGAACTAATTCATTATCTTTATAGTATTTTGATATAGTAACATACGCAAAACAAAAGAGAATTGTTCTAATACAAAGAGAGCCGCGAAGAGAGAGTGCTAAGAACGGCAGATCAAATATTTAAAGCTAATATTAAGAGCAATTTTTTAAGACTTTTTTTAAAGGTACACGTGTGTTCAACTAAATTACTGAGAAAAAGTGAGCAAATGTCGCAAAACCAAAACAATCATACAGCTGTTTAAGAGGAAAAAGCTTTCAGAATTCTCGGGGCGAATGTCATTATTAATTCCGTTTTATATGAAAAATACTTTAAGACAGTAAGACAATATTATTAGGATTATTATTTTCATTACATGAAGCTTTTTTTTAGGATTATTATTTTCATTACATGAAGCTTTTTTTTGTTCATAAAGAAATAAACTAGAATAAATAATAACAGAAAATCATAAAATCAGCTAATTAATATTTCGAAAGGTAAATTAAATTAGTTCGGGTATTTCTTGCATTAAACTTTATTTTATGTATGTATACAAAAATTGCAATCTTAAATTCGCTTAGATTAGAAAATAAGCGATACAAATTCATTGACCCATTCGTCTGCACGTTATCGCAGTTTGGCCAGTGTTCCTTGGATTGTATTATAATTTGCTTTGGCTTAAAATGGTTTAATTTCTTTGGATTGTTGACCTTTGTGTGCCGTAAGACGATGTTGCTGGATAATCCAGTTCATATAACTCAAAGTGTACATTATTGTGAGCCAAAATGGAAACGGCTGTATCTTAACATCTTTATACTGTTAAACTACAAATGTTAAATATTGTGTTTTATGACTCTAATTGACTAACTTACCTTTTTAAGAGGGTAACTTATAACTAAAATAAGACCTTGAAAGCGATTAATATTCTTAAGAGCTTTCGGTATTAAGTTTTTGATACTTATATTAAAATAAAACAAGAGAGAACGCTATAGTCGGGTGCCCCGACTATCAGATACCCGTTACTCAGGTAAAGGGAGTGCGAGGGAGATGGAGATAGAAACTTTGATCACGCATAACTTTTTAACGAATGGTCCGATTTGAAAAATTTCTTCAACATTTCGATAGGTATTCATAAACACAATAAAACTGCATTTTTACTTTTCCGAAATATTTAAATTTTTAAAATCGTATATAAGCGATTGTGGGCGTTAAAGGGGGCGTGGCACCTTTTTGAAACAAACTTGCGCTGCGTAGGAACTCCTAAAATCTAGATGCAAAATGCCAATCTTCTAGCTTTTATAGTTTCCGAGATCTCAGCGTTCATACGGACAGACAGACGGACAGACGGACAGACAGACGGACAGACGGACATGGCTAGATCGACTCGGATAGTGATCCTGATCAAGAATATATATACTTTATAGGGTCGGAAACGCTTCCTTCTAGCTGTTACATACTTTTGCACGAATACAATATACCCTTTTACTCTACGAGTAACGGGTATAAATATAATTGATTTTCATCTTTTATTTTTTTAAAGAGTATTTACATATTTTTAAGAAGAGCCTATAAATAAATAGAAAAATAGTTATATTCTATAGATATCTGTATAGATCTGTTTCACAACTTGCTACTTTTCGAAGGCCTGTGATTCCGGATGAAGGGCACAATATAGCGGGCACATTCCTCGGCGGCATGAAGATGGACATGGTGCTTGGCGCCCTGCACCTCGTAGAACTCAAAGTGAGGGTTATCTTGGGACAGAATGGAAATGGCCTCGTCGCATCGGGGACCCACAAAAGGTGATAGCGACCCCTTGATAACCAGATAGGGTTTCTTTTGAATACGCCGCGCCATCTCCGCAGCCAGTCCGTTTTCAATGTCGAATATGTGGTAGAACTTTACGCGTCCATCCCTCGAAAAGAACACCTTTTCCGGGTAGATCTGTGACTTGGCCACCTGGCGGTGGAGCATGTGATCGGCCAGGTTGTTAGGTATGGAGTTATTGCTGCTCCTGGCCAGAACATTGCGCATTTTACTCAGGGTAAAGGATGGTGGCTCGGGATGTGTGCCATCCGCCTGTCGCCGTTCCTCAACCAAATACCCTTCTATATCCTTGAACAGCTTACTGGGATCCTCGATCCTGCGGGGCAGTAGTACATCCAGTGATATAATAAAATCCACTGTGGTTGGCGCCATGGCCGCGTACATGAAGCTCATCACTCCGCCCAGAGAATGACCCATTAAGGAGACCTTGGACCAGCCGAACTCCTTCATCACCCTTGGAATGATGAAGACGTAATCATAGACGTTATAGTGCACACCCGCTGGAAATCGCGAGGACCTTCCATGTCCCGGAAGATCAATGCAGAGCACTCCTATGTAATCTGGCAGCAGCGGAATAAGTCGTTCAAAGGTTCCCAAATTGTCCAGCCAGCCGTGGATTGCCAAGATTGGTCTTTCAGTTCGATTGCCATACCAACGACCTGATATGTAACCCCAGGGAGCAGGGATTTTCACCTCATCATACACCAAACGGGTCTGAAAATATAAAATATTTTATTAAAAATTGGTTTTGTTTCCAAAACTAAGTTTTTAAATTCCACCTTTGATTACGGCATTACGTGTTCACATTTATTGTGCGACAAAACAAACGCAAAAGTAGAGATAACGAATTTATTTTGGGAACTAGGTTTATTAACAAAATTCCATAATTAGAATTTTTGCAAAAGTGACCCAAAAAAAACAAATTTCAATGTCATGTCTAGTAGCTCAAATAAAAGCCTTATCAATGTTTATATTCCCTTACAAGGGGTATTATTATTTGGCTTGCAATAATATTATAAACCTGCCTTAATCGAGAAAAATGTTGACTAGAATTTTTTTATGGTTAAAATTTTTAATAAGTATCAGAGTTATAAACGTATTTTAGTTTTATATATTTAATTGTTTATTACTTCACATAACATTACTCACTGGGCTTTGTGATAAAGTCTCCATGCTGTCACTTGCTATTCTCCTCTATTAAATTCCACAAAAATTCGATCTTGTGATATTAAGTCTTTTACTTTATTATCCAAACAGTGTATGACGTCTCAGACAGTTGTTTTCTACCGAGTGTTATCTTCTTATCAATCTTATCCACTTAGGCGTCATATAGCAATTTGAATATTTTTAAACTAAAGACACGACTTGCAACTCGGGCTGCTTTGCATGAACTAATTTTTGTTTTTGACAATCATCGCAGCAAAAATTTGTAGATTGTTAATGCCCAAAAATGTGATAGTATGCAGCCGCAAAGCGAGTGAAGTAAAAGAATCAAAATAGTTAACCCATTTTTCCGACAAAACCGTAATTTTTTTTAAAGAAAATTATTGATATTACCAAACTAACTAATCAAAATTTGCTTAAAATGTATTATAACTTATTTGATATCATTATATAAAAAAAATAAATCACTGAATTTATTGAAAGCTTACTTTTTTTAAAGCACCTAATGGAAACAGATCTAAAACCTAAATAAACATTTAAGTTTGAGAATGTTTTTATTAATTATTAAAACAATTTTAGGGCTCATAAAGATTGTGCTTAAGAAAATTTAGATCCAGGCTTAAAAATTACTTCGGAAATTTGTATGTACAAGTAGAAGTAGGTTAATTTAAAATGGGCAGATGCCAAAACTTGCGAATTTAGGTGGGCAACGCACTTAACGCACTTGATAATCTATTTTTATGTTGATGAGATTAGTGGAATATTTCAGACGTTTTAGGTAAACATACAATGCTTTAAGGTACACCGATGAATAGTTTTTTGCAAGATGATAACTTCACTGGTTTTTCAGTGACAATTTCACCACTTTCTTGGTCAAGTTGTTATCATGCCGAGAGTAAAGTGTGCGTCCGGTCTCAATAAACTGCCGTGGGATTTTGGGAATGTGTCGATTACTACGTGACTCTCTCGACGAATCGAGTTTTCCATTTCCCATGTCCACATCGATGCACACGGTTACGCTGTGCTGACCTGTCGTGGTCATGTTCCTAGTCGAAGTCCTGGTTTTTCTGCTCTGAGTTGGTCGCGTGTCGATTTAAACTGCCGGCAGCACGTTTTTCTATTTTTCTGTAAAGGGTTTTGCAATGCATTTCTGGAAAAATTCATGGGTGTAGAGACGCATATTTTGTGGTGCAGAGGATTAAATACCAACAGCAATATCATAATTAATTAATGGAAAATAAGATAAATAAAATAAATGGCTTTAAACTATATTGTCAAATATTCTATAAATTCGCCAGAATCTTAAATTGCTGTTTAAGCCATTTATAATTGTATTTCTAATCCCTTCTGTGCTCTAACTTAAAGGGCAATAAACCTGATGCAGGATTTTCCATTTCCTTGCCCAACTGTCGACCAAGTGTGATTACCTTCCGCCGTCTTTCTCCTCGGCTGAATATGGCTTCTATGTAGCCAAATTTGACCCCTGCTTAACCCCCAATTTGCATTTGACTAAATTTTCTTGTGCATTTCAATCGTGTGTGTGTGCAAGAAGCTGCAGCCATGATTTATCTTTAATTTATGTTTGAGTAATTTATCATGTCTGCCGAGGCCATGATGTCACCGCCCCCTCTTGTTACCGCCCTGCTGTGTAATTTTCCCCAGGCAGTGCGCTATGCAAATTGTCTTGAGCTTTCCCCAAAGTGAAAGTGCCATTTCACTGGCGAAATTTGTGCGTGTATTGGCCTTGAATCCATAATTTGCCTGTCAACGGCAGCCATGTCGTCGTTGTCGACGTGGCCCCAAAAATTGTGCGCACATAATTGAGTTCAAGCATTTGGAAGCCAATTATGATTTCCCACTTTTCACCCGCTTTTCTTTTGTCCCTTGTCGCGGCTCCTTTCACATCTCAATCAAAAGGGCGCCCAAAGTCCATTGTCCTTTCTCCTTCGCGGCTTTAATTGCCTCTGCCACTTAACGTATGCAAATTAAATTGAATTCTTTTCCTTTAACCGGATCTCTTTCGGTTTTTTGGGTCACCTTAAGTGGGATGGCAGTCCACCTTCAGTTTGATAAATATTTATGATACCCAATGATAGTTGTGCTGAACAAGGATAAAGGGTTTCCCATTTCTCCTTTATTTTTCTTGCTTCGAAAAACGAAAATATAGAAAGGATACACTCGAGAAAATTAATCTGTTGAATAAAGAATTGGCCTATCTTTTTGTCAATATGAATTTATTAAATCGGTATGAATTCATAAATATAAAGTAACATCTTTAAATTTGATTTATGTTTACTTAAAGAACAAGATTTAAACAATGCCATGTTTAAACTTAAGAGTATTACTGTATTTTAAAAGAAATGTAAACTGAGAACATGATTTTTGTATTAATAATTTTGTAAATAACTATTCTTCTTAACAAAATAATAAAATAGATTTTTTTAAGTGTTGGGTAAAGCACTATATATGATGCTTTCAACCTGTCAGCAGAGCTTCCGAAAAAATCCTTGAGCCGGGGATCAGCTTCACAAAGACACCGCCGGAAGTCTCGAGCTGATACGCATGCAACTCCCCAAAAAAAAGAGAAGGAAAAACCATGGAAAATGGCAGAAAGTGCGGTGGGGGAAAGTCGGCTACCCCGGCTATTATGCTTTATGTGTTGCTATTTTGGTTTTTTTTTCAACCGGAGTTTCTTTAGACCCAAAGTGCGAGTGAGGTTTAAGCCCGAACAATGGCTGAAAAAAACACTAGAGTGTGTAAGAAATTGCATTAAGAAATCATTTTCGTTTTGCGGCGGTTTCCATGTAGGTTTTTCTGGCTTTTCCATGGGTTTTCATGGTTCTACGAGTCTAATTCAAATGAATTATTTGAGCCAGAATGTTTCACCCGTTGCATTTTTCTGGGTGTGCGGTTTTAACAACATTTCTTTGGCTAATGAATTTGACTATTATATCAGCATGAGAGAGCGAGTGTGTTTCCATCTACATGTGTGTATAAATAATTGTATTTCCTCTAATTATACAGCAGGACTGCAGAATTTGCATTTGAATACATTTATATGCAGTTTTCCAGGGCAAACCTGCACGGGCACACATTCACGTTACAATTAAAAATTCCAGAAAATTACGAATGTAAACCAGAGCTTTGTGGCATGAAATTTGATGCTGCAGTTTGGAATCCCAAGGCTTGGGTCTATTAATTAAAAGGTACAGAGTTTGCAGGTTGTAAGTTGTGCAAATCTGATTTAAATGTATGGCATAATTTTGTAGAAAGTATATAAATGATATGATATACTTGGGATTTAAGGACTGCAAAACATATCTGTGTAAGAGACATTAAATGGTCTGTATTTTAATGCACTTTTATTATATAAAATTGATTTTTCAATATAAATTAAACATTTGCTAGGACCTTAACTTCTGTTTATATTCATACGATAAAAAAAAAATCTTAATAATAATCAGACATTCAGAATAGTTTACACATTTCTGCTGTCCCTTTTGTTATTAATTCAAGAGCTCATTAATCCACTCGATTTCCAAGGTCACACCCCAAAGCATGCCATGATTTATGAATTTCCCCCACTTTCCCCACCCACATTTTCTATATTGTTCACCTAAGTATGCAATTGTTTATGTTTATATTTAGTAATCAAGTCTGCACGAGAGTCAAATGACACGTTTCCGTACTCAATCCCAAACAATTAATTAACCACATAATTTATGATTATTGCCACAATGAGTTCGCTTTTTCTGGCGCCTTTTCTTGAGGCTTTGGTTTTGGTTTACTTGTCGACTTTATTCATTTATTTTTGGCCAAATGTTTCTACTGGAGTTTCATAAATAATTGCCATAATTTATGCATTGTCAGATACTGACTAATGGCAGCGAGGGCGTGGCACTTGACAGGCGGAATAAACCGATTGTTTACATTCCCGATTCCAGAACTCAATTGCCTGGCACTCAATTTGCAAGGGCGGCAGAAAAGAAGATTTCATAATTCAAATTCTTCGATTTATGGCCAGCTGGTGTAGTGTCCTTCGGGGTTTATCGAAGCCGGGAGCCTCTGACTCGGCAAACATTTCGCACTTGAGCTAACAACTCCATGGCAATCGTAAATTACGATTGCCCAACCCCAAAAACGCACTTCACTTGTGCGTAATGCCAAGACAACTGTGTGCACAAACTGCAGGAATGCCCAAACAATCGACACTGAAACCTTGAGGTTAAATAGCAGGTTACTATACTAGCACCAATGGTTGGCAAAAATAAGGTATTCCTTTCAAAGAAATAATTTAATATTAAATAAATTTGATTTAATAATTTAAGATTAGTAAAGTTAGTTTAAGTTGATCATGACTTAATTATAAGTCAGAAATATCTCCAGAGTCCAGCTTATGTATTTAACTTAAATTTATTTAATGAATAGCCCTATTTATTTAATCGATGTTATAAAAAGGTATCGAAAAGTAAAAGGCCAAACAATCGAGTAGCTAGACATCATTGAAGATCAAAGAGTTCAGCAAAAAAGGAGTTCAAGGAAAGTGAGAAGTCGTCTAGAGTATGGTTGCGTTTAAGAAGTCGGTCTCAGTTATCATTCGAAGTTATTTTTAAATCATTCGTATTAATAAATCAAAATTTGTACCATCCCACAATAATATGTAATGAATGTATTAGTTTTAATCCGACTTAAGTCTTTTTGAGGCTTAATCTTAGAACTACTGTATATTTTGATTTATTTTATCTTATATTTTTATTTAAGTACAACGATCGCAACTACACAAAATTCAATTCACTTTTACTTCAAGTACATGTATAAAAGGAATTATTATTATTATTTCTCAAATAAAAGGAATTATTATCATTACTCTCAACTTTATAAAATTCCTAATAAATTTTTTTCTCATTGTCATTTTAGAAAGAATTATTATTATTACTCTAAGTATATAAAATTTCTCAAATAAAAGGACTTATTATTATTACTCTCAAGCTTATAAAATTCCTCATAAATTTTTTCCCCAGTGCAGTCAGTGCTATCCAAAATGCAGTAGTATCCACCCATAATTCCCGCCGTCCTCTGCGATTGCCCCCTCAACTGTGTTGTTACCGTATATCGGATCTTGTCTGGTCATAAATTTCCGCTTTTGGTTAACTCCTGCAACGGCTGTTACTGGTGCTACCAACTACCAACTGCCGGAGGTGGCTCTGCTCTTGGCCCTGTGGAGAAATACTGGGAGAATTCCGGAAGGGGACCCCTAGGAATTTAACTCACCGTTGGGCTTTCGGTGGAAGGCACTCAAAAATTATACTGGCCTCTGTACATTTTGTTGATCCCCCGTTTGTAATTGGAGATTGCAGTTGAAAAAGTTTGCCATTCAAAGTTTACTTTTTGATTCAGTTTTCAGAGCCTGGCATTTGCCAATTTATCCGTCTGCGTGTATATATATAAATTCTCGGGTGTGTGGACGATGTTTTGTGGGCTGTCTCCTGGTAACTTTTAACATTTTGACCAGTAATTGAACCCTACAAAATGTCACAAACATAGCTCAACTTTTCTTCTAATTACAATGTCATTGGTTCATTGTCTTTGCTGAATACTGCCCGAATTTGAGGGGTTTATTTCGGTTTTAATTGGGGTCGAATTTGTGTGAGACAAACTGGGGAAGCCATAAATCTTTAGCATTTCATCTGTGAAATTGCAGCAAGTCACTTAGATGTGCAAATATTTTGCCTGTTACCCTTTTCTTTTTGGACCACTTTCATATTCATAGCCCTGCAGTCTGAAGATCTGGCAAGTTTTCTAATTAAAAACAAATTCATGAATGCAATTTGCATGAAATTCAATTAAACTTTTTATCTATTCTCGATCTTAACGGTGCTCTTTTCCTGAGAGTGCAAGAATCAAGCATACGCACTGTTGTCCCAGCGTGTGTGATTGCAATCAAGATGATATCTAAGCAACCTTTTTTGGGCAAATTTGATTGAAGAAAAAGAGGAAACCGGCAAAAGAAAAGAAAGAATATAACTGGGATGAATAAATGAG